ATTCCTGCGGTGCTTTCTAAGAAACAGCCGCATTAATCTTCGAGCACCGCATAAATTGAGATTTATCTGTACTTTCGTAATTGTTATATGTAAATATTTGTCTCACTGCGCATATAATTTAATAAATAACAAATTATTTAAAATAGAAAGATTGTAAGCTATTTTACAGTATGATACAATAAATAATAAACTGAGAAAAAAATTTGTTTATTTAACCAAATTAATTTTAGTTGTCTTAATTTCTTTCGTTGAAGAATATATGTATTAAACAGAATGTGTCCAACTTAAATACATACATTCTTCGTCGAAAGAAATAAAGACGAACTAAATTAATTTAGTCAAATAAACAATTTTTTCTCAGTGCACTTTTTCAAATAAATTAACGTTGTAAATAATAACTACGTTATTTTTTATTTTCAGCTCTGCTGAATACGCGGACGCTAATAAGCAGATTCTGACCACTAGTCTGACGCATCACTGTAAGTAACTTACGTTTAATATATTTACTCACCATTTAACAATTCCTCTTAGAAATTTTTTAAGAAACAATTCCGTTAGAAAAATAAGAATGTTCACTTAATCTAATTGCTATAAATTCCAATAATTGTTATATATTCCAAGAGCTGCACTTAATAAAGAGCTTCTCATTTCAACGCATAAAGAAATCCGAATTGAGTTTCATCGTGCAGAGAGATTCTTTTACCCTAGTACCGCGACACGGCGAGACTTTCTTCGTATTTTTGTCGCGTGAATTATTCCTTTCTCGCGGGGGCTCAACGTCGTCTGCACCGTTACGCAACTTGTACTTTAGTACATCCCGACTGTGATTCTTTTGTAGCGGTAGCCGGCTTTCCGTCACTTTGCACGGTTTGCGTCGCGAGAGATGGTGAAACGTTAGACGAGGGTCGCGACTTTCGCATGAAACTTCCTCCACTTTTGTCCCCGGCTGACGCCATAACGACTCTAATCTCCTTACGCTTCAAGCTGTTTTTGCCGACCAAACGAAAGTGCTTACGGCGTTGACCAGTCGGGTAAGAGACTTACAATTTACTTCTATCTAAGGAGCTTTGCAGGACGCGCAGAATGTTGTCGCTATTCCGGGCTTTATTTAATGTTCACGTCATTTTACATTTACGCTACGACGCAAGTTTATCCTGGCACCCACCGATGTAATTTTTTTTACGAAAGCGCTCTGGTAAATGCTGTAATGTTGGAAAGAAGCGAGAGAGAAAAACTGTAGAAATTTTTTGGAGTGATGGAATTAAGAGCGACTTCAAAATCGTGAAGAAATACGGAAACATTTCTCGCGATTGAAGAACAGGAAGATATGAATCAATCCATGTATATATAGACACATGTGACAATTCTATCGTATAGTTTCGTGAATTTTACAACATTTGTAAAGAACAACTTCTTACTCTTGTAACTATGTGAATGAGTGTTGAGATTACATCGATGATTAGTGCACAGAGTGCACTAGAGAGTGCTCCTAAAATGTTTAATCTAACTTCAACAGCGCATTCTACTAAACAAAATAATGAGAAAAGTTTATATAAACGAACAACCATCAAACGCTAACTTTTATTTACTTTTTTGTTTTCTCGCTTTTTAATTTGAGTAGTTGAAGCGATTTGTAATTAGAAGTATTTCTAGAATGTACTAAGAGCTAAGAAAAGTTACATTTGAAATATTTATAATATTCGTTTATATTCTATTCGATTCTATGCGTTCGCACTATCATGTATATGTTCGTTTTTTCATACATGTCACTTCATTGATGCAAATGCAAATTAGAGAGCAACTGTTTGATAAATTATTTATGTACTAAATGTTCATAATTACCAAATATAATTTGCAATTTTGATCCTTTCCGCATTAAAGTCATACGGTTATTTAATGTAATAATAAGCAACAGAAATAATCTAGTTTAATGATATTACTTAAACCTCATTGTTACAGCGTGTACATAAAATATGCACAATTCCGATACGAATCTGATAGAGAGCATTGAATGTTTTAGATGGGAAAAGTGCATTAAACGGTCCATAAAATTTCCTTACGGAAATCTACCAACACGTACAAAATTTCGTTTCTATTTATAGCTTATTCTCTTCTACGAGGTAGTGGAACGTTTCAGAACATTTCACATGTAGTGTTGAATGAATCATCTCGCGTTCCTACGCATGACACCCCAGGGGCTTTCGAAGGACAATCCAATTTCCACGACCAGTTTTTCGTTTCAAGAATGTTGTTTTCTGCAGGTCGGAAGTGACAGTCTGAAAGTCTCAGGGACTTGATGCTTTCTTTTTCGACGATATCAGATAGATTTTGTCTTTTTATCGAATTCGTATCTCTCCGTGAATTAAAAAGTCAAATGTCGCTTGTCCATTTTCGGTTATATAATGTCACTCCAATTTCGCTTAAACACATAGATACACATATATGAATTATTTATCGTCGCTTATAAAACTCGATTATACTTCGTGGTAAACCTACACCCGTATTTTCGCTTATCGTATTACGCTGCAATTATTGCAAAAATTAATTATTCCTCACGGGACTGGAAGTATTCGACTCATTGGGGAATCGTCATTCGAACGTTTATTTCAGTCCAATATAATAGCGTTATAATTAAATAATAAATTTCACTTTGATTTATATACAATTCATTGATAATAAAAAAAGTTTAAAAAAAATAATATTAAGCTCGGTACATTTATAAATCTTAAGAAATTAATATTATCATAAATACTTAATAACAAAATAAAAATTGACTTCGGTAACTGACAATTGCTATTTTCGTATAAACGTCTATATACTTTATGATCCTAACATACCATAACTTTGTGTGAGACAACTCTCCCACATTCGCGAGCTTAGAAAAACAGATCAGGGTCGACGATTGTGCGACACGTAATCCAACCCAGAGAATCGTTAAATGGTTCGTGCGACTTCGTGTTAGTGAGAAACGACGTTCATCTAGCAGCATCCAACGGAGCCAAAGTGGGTTTACATCGCAGTTAAGTTTCATCGTAACGCCCCCGCGACGGTTGGATGCCGTGATGCTAAACCGTCTTTCCTGTAGTCAGTGACGACGTCGCACAGGGTGGATTTACCGACCATTTGGCAAATGAAGACGAAACTACATCGTAGATTATGGAGCGAGAGTGAGGCAGAGAGTCGAGTAGGACGCAGTGCAGAGTGTCGAGTATCTTAATGTAGGGGTATCTATCGATGGATATCTATCGGCAATAGTTAACCACACTGCCGTGATTTCGATAAAAACATTTGTTCGCAGTTGAGAACTTTATCACTTTACTGTTGTAATCAACACGATGTTCCTTGTTCATTGAAATAGGATCTTCTTTGATATTGTATTTCCAGTTATTTTTGAATTTCGATTCCAAAGCGTACTTTCAAGATCACTGCAAGAGCAATGTATGCTGCTACGTACGTATATTTGTGATTAAATAGAAGAGTCATTATCAAGAATAATTGAGCTTCAAAGAGTCGCTAACAACCGACTTTGTAATCACTGCAATCGAACGGAACGGTCGTTAGGACCCGATGCTTTCCTTCTCTGATCTCGAACGAGACGTCTATAAATGGCGCGGCAATGGACCCGTTTGCTTTCTATCGACTGCTACTTTGAACTTTCGATAGCACTAGTCTATGACACGTGGAAGCTCTCTTGCGAAGTAAATTAAATGGAAATCATTACCCCTCCCCCCTCCCTCTCTCCTTCTCTCTTTCTCCTCTTATTTCGCGCGCATCTCTTTCGTCTTTTATCGTTGTTATAATTACGTAAACATTGCTTTTCATTTTGCATATCATTTTGTTTGCAATAAAGAGTATATCTTTTAATTGTCCAACAAAAAAATTTTTACTCATATATATATATGTGACACACAGTCTATTAAATTATTAATAGATCAATATCTATTCATTGTTAAGAATAAAATGCTCCTGTATGGATTGTTACATATAAAAAAATTTAAATACATACATAAGATATTGACAAAGTTATAAAATAAATATTAATATAGTACCGACTATGATAACGATATTAATGCTAACGAGCAAAAAATATACTCTCGAAATTTTCAAGGTGATACATCTATAATTTGTTCGCAAAAAGAGTGCCATATACATGTGACGGTTATTCGATACTTGTGTGTCTGCTCACCGTGCTAAAAATTTCCGGGAAAATAAATACTGCTCTGCTAGAACCACATTCGTGTCAATATATTCACGCCCTGGCGATGCCTCGCGGTTTTTCGATTTTGTCAGGGCAAACAAAATTTATGAGTAAACCGCTTCACTGTAATGTTATAATGCCATCCATCCTCATCGATTATCACCGCTTTTAATAACTTCTATCTCGTCTCCATGAATCATCATCAATCGCGTGACAGATTTTGAAATATATTTAAACCTCTTCTATTAGAGAGAGAGAGAGAGAGAGAGAAAGAGAGAGAGAGAGAGAGAGAGAGAGAGAGAGGAAAAAAAGAGAAGGAAGAGTCATCTAGAAACAGATTCATCTTGATTGACAAATTATAATAGAAAACATGACGCTAAAACATGACATAAGCCATAATATTTATAAACTAAATAATAAACTAAGTAACTAATAAATAATGAAGTAAATAACTAATAAATATATTTAACTGAACATTTCAACTGAATAAATTTATCTAGTTAAAATGTAATTCCTTTTGAAATTTGCAATGAATGAATTCAAATGTAATTTCAAATAAATTTATTCAGTTGAAATTTAAAATGAATGAATTTTTTCAAAAATGTTCTTAAAAAATAAATGTAATTAATGGCGAATGTATGAGAAAATAAAGGTAGTGTAATACTTTACACTTATTGATATGCAAATCTAGTGAGTAAACTGTAACAGCGAAAAAAGAACAATGCATGTCGTTAATTCGTCGATACGAACGATCCACTTGATCGAACAAGCAAGCTCATCTTCGTGAGAGATAACACCGGCGCGGGCACGATAGGTCGCGACAAAAGTTAACGAGATGGTGTTAATTAAATCCCGCACGGTCGATCGCGAGTGGGAAAATTTGACAATGGATGTGCCTATACGCTCTCGTCGGTGCATAGGATATACATATACATACATATATATATACATATATATATACACATGTATATATATATATATACATATGCATATGTATATATACATACAATACATATATATTTATATTTATATATATATATATATATATATATATATACATACATTACACTCACGCACATACATAGATATACAATATACGTCAGCTTGTCTATGCATCGACGCGCACAACGCTACCACGACGGATCGGTTGGTGGGCACGGCCAGTGGTCGAACTCCGATGAATCGATGACCGCTTTTAGTAATGATGTGTACATGGCAGGCCATCCTCTCCCGATGGAACGCCGCGTCGGGGTCAACGCAGGACGCCGCGGCCACACCGGA